ACTTCCTTCCTCCCTCCTCGACTTCAACACTTAAAAGAGTTCCCCACTCCCATCCATGACCACCTCCACCCTCTCCTCGTGTACCACCTCCACCCTCTCCTCGTCCTACCTCTACCATCTCCCCTCCCTACTACCTCCACCCTCTCCCCGTACCACCTCTTACCCTCTCCTCTCTCCTCTCCTCATCCATGAAAACGGAGACATAACCCCTCGTTCCTAGACAGAAGGAAAGACGCGGCAGCTATACTCCGACGAATGCTTCCACCAATATCAGCACTACCCGTCTTCGCCCGAATATAACGCCCCCGGTCATTATCACTGTATCTAGACTGCCAGTTGCACCAAATACAGCTTTAATGACCGGGCGTTCTATTGGGGTGAAGACGGGTAGAGGAAGAAAGTGCTTCCTGCGCATTTGAAATCGTCCCCGACTGCGTAAGGGATTTCAGGCATGAAGCGTCTGCTGCTCCTTTTCGACCCATACGGTCACAACCGATCTCGGATGTCAGAAATTGTCCACTAACGCGCGCGCGCCGCAATCGACACAAACACAAAGACGGAGCCATCCATCACCAAAGGTAACTTCATCATCTGTCCTCTCTCTCTCTCTCTCTCTCTCTCTCTCTCTCCCCGTGTGTGTGTGTGTGTGTGTGTGTGTGTGTGTGTGATTCATTAGCTTTACAGAGTCGCTGTGATATACATACGTGCATCATGAATAGAAATTTCCACAATTACCTCGACTGAAAGAGATGTGTGTGCGTGTGTGCGTGTGTGCGTGTGTGCGTGTGTGTGTGTGCGGAACGTTCGGCCACCTGCACCATGATGACCGTCCTCCGCTGACCCTGACGATGTATATGGACGAACGTTCCGTCCACGTACCGGAATAGAAATTTCCACATCATGACCATCCTCCGCTGACCCTGACGATGTGCGGAAGATGTGACGTCTATGCAGAAATATGTATGTAGAAATATATATTGTCATATTGTCATATATATATCTCTATAGTGTAGATGTCCAAATTTCTTACGTCTCCAAAATATAATCCCAAAACCTATCAAACAACTGTTTCCCGCCAAACGAGTTTCCCGCACCCTATCAAACACTGTTTCCCGCCAGCCGATTTCCCGCCAGCCGGTTTCCCTCCATCATGCCACAATGACATCTTTACCGACCACCTCTCCCATCGAATCATCATCATTTCCTTTCTCCCGCCCGCCTTCATGATTCGTCGCCAACTTGTTTCCCGCCTTTTTTCTTCCGATTTCCCGCCGCGCTATCATGTTTCCCGCCTTTTTTCATCCGATTTCCCACCGCGCTATCATGTTTCCCGCCTTTTCATCCGATTTCCCACCCCGCTATCATGTTTCCCGCCTTTTTTCATCCGATTTCCCACCGCGCTATCATGTTTCCCGCCTTTCCGTCCACTTTCCCGCCAAAAGACACACCCGATTACCCGCCAAACGTGTTCTCCCCGCTGTACGTGATGTAGAGAAAGCCATCACCGTCCTTGTGGTCCTCATAAATCGCCGACATCAAGGCTGCCGTTGGCGGAAGCACATTCTCCACGAATATGAAGATCGCCTTCTCCGGACTCAACTTAATCCTCTTTCTGATAACATATACAAATTGCCCCACTGTTAAATCCGCAGGTACCAGGTACTTCTTCTTGTCTATATCCGGAATATCACTCTTTTCCGCTTTCTCCACGATCACCGGGATTCGATCCGGGTACTTCTCCCTAATACGTGCTGCCTCTGCCTGCCTTTTCTCCAAGGCATGCTCATTCTTGAATGAGCTCTTCGCCATCTTTAGGAACCTGATCACCGAGGTTGACTCGATCCGGGTGTACTTCTCACAAAGACTCCGACGCGTCGTCGCCTGATTAGTCTACGACGCTGATTAGTCTAATCAAGACGCTGATTAGACTAATCAAGACGCTGATTAGTCTAAGACACTGCTGATTAGTGTAAGACGCTGATTAGTCCAAGACGATAGACTGACGGACTGATTGGTGCAACTGCTGACTGGACGATTGACTGACAGACTGATTAACTGATTGGTTGAACTGGCTGATTGGTTGGTTGGTCGGTTAATTAGTCAAAATAGATTGGTTGATTGATTCTTCTTCTTCGCTCTACCGCACAGGTCATCAAACGCTACAGCTAGCTGCTCCTCACTACGAACCCGACTCTATTACTACTCTATATAATACAGTAAATCGCTCAATTGATAATTGATTGACTGATTAATTGATTGATCGAGATATTAATCGATCGATGTACGCAGTACACTGATTACCCGAGACTTCTTCCCGCCAACCTGGACAATCTAGAGCGCTCTAGACTGTACACAGTGACACGTGGCGAGACAAGACCGATGATCAAACGATCACGTGAAAAGACAGACAGACATGGACATGAGCACCAAACTCGTTTGAAACGCTACCGCTGCCTTCAGTCTGTAATTTAATCAGAGTTTCGGACCCCCACCATGTACGCACGGATTCCAACGGGCGATCTCACTCGTTCCTCGGTCTCTGTCACCGTAATCCGATTAGCTAACGGGCCAGTCACAACACACCCTGGACAACTTTCATTCACCCTGCGCTCAAAAGAGGCACTGATCGCTCGCATCACACAGAGTCACTACCACGCTCGGTGGACCACGACGACGCACAGACATAAAGAGAGTCAGACAGAGGGAGACAGAGGAGAAACGCGGCGCGCGCGCGCGCACACAGAGAGAGAGAGAGAGAGAGAGAGAGAAGCCGAGAGAAATGATAGTTTAGGGGGAGGTTGGAAGCGGAAGACAGACAGCGTGCGAGAAGACGAACACAGACACAGAGAGAGAGAGAGAGAGAGAGAGGTAAGTTCGGTACTAATCTATCCCTCTTACTCCTGTGTCTGAATTACGAAAAGGAATATGAGATCCTCCCTGCGTCTGCCTGCAAAAAGCGCAAAGCGCGAAACGTAGACGTAGCCGTAGCCGTCGCCGTCGCCTAAAAATTAACGGTCGTGTTTAGCCCAGAGTGCGCCGAGAGCGGGAAACGGAAAAAAGACCACCTGGCGGTCCTTCCTTCCTTCACGTGAGCGCGGTTACCAACGCAGTAAGTACCCCACACTTCAGAAAAACGTTTCAATCTTCGATCTTGCACTTTCCGAGGACGTTCAGGAGGACAGCCCGCATGCAAACGCCTATATGAAACTCATAGGCTACGAACAGGAGACGTCGAGTGTTAACTGGTAAGAGGAGAGAGAGAGAGAGAGGGGGGGGGAGGGAGAGAGAAGGGGAGGGAGAAAGAGGGGGAGGGGGAGGGGGGGGAGGAGATGGAGAGCGAGGAAAAGTTAGGGAGAGCGAGAGAGAGAGAAAGAGAGCGAGAGGGAAGATAGGGAGAGAAACAGGGAGGAGGGAAGGGAGGGAGAACTCCCGCGCATATGAAGACCGCGAAGCACGCCTGCCGCGACGGCGGGACGATGGCAGTAGATAGCAATCAAGGCCGGAGACTGAGTGGTCGAACCGAACGACTGGCGAGAGTTAGATTCGATAGGCGGGATCGGGATGTTGTTGTGTATTCAAATGGAGAGACAGGTACCTTGGGGGGTCGTCGCCGCCGTGGCTAATCCCGATCCCACTCCTTGTAGATCCGCACAGTTTCCCTGTAGCAGCGCCGCTGACCTCGGTGCCCCTCCTGGACGGGATACCGTCAGGGTGTACATAAGGCGCGAGTTCGCCCAGTCAGACTGTAGCCGCGCCAGGCCTTCTCAAGGATGTACCGCACCGCAATTAGAGCCAAATTACGTCGAAATAGAGTTGAGCCTGAGTTTGGGCCTCGCTCCGCTACAGGCCAACAAATGTGTGTAAAATGGCGGATGTACTTTCGGCTAGAATGCGGAAAGGAACATCTTTTATAAAAGCAAAAGGGAAAATTGCATCTGTGCCCCGATGGGAATACCGGTCCCGGCGCCAACCTGCGTCTATACCCAGAGATGGTGGAAATTGTTGGCATGCCCACGACCGAGGGTTTTTTTTTCTTTTTTTTTTTTGAAAAAAAAAGGCCCGAAGGGCTGCATTATGGGCCTGGCACACCACTCTCGAATCTCGAAAATATTCGTCGAGGGCTGTCAGGATTTTTCAAGAGGCCGGTTTTCGAGAGAAAATGGCCCTTCGCCACATATCACACTAGACCGGCCTCTCGAAAATTCCTCTTGAGCGTGGATGCTATCCCTGGGCCGAGAAAATGGCCTGACGACTCTCGAAATGCACGTCGAACTCGAGCGCGGACGGGCGGTATCACGAAAACTCCAACGCTGCAGGCTGGGCGAAAACATCGTTTCCAGAAGGCACTCGAAAATGCCTTTCTGACAGCTCTCGAACAATTCCGAGTTTTTTTTTCAAGCAACGCTGTGTGGCGCTGCCCGACTCACGAATTTTTGAGATTCGAGAGTGGTGTGGCGAGGCCCTATAGCTCAATAAATTTTAAACGAGGCTGGGGACCTCACAATTCAACCCGGAAGAGTGCTGACAGCATCAGCCAGCTTGGCTTAGCCTTCAGAGGAGAACATTGAACTAGAAGCAGTTCTGGTCCCAAGGACCTCTGTCCTGACTTACCCTCTCTGAACGAACAAAGAATAAACTTTGCCTCGAGGGCCTTCAAAACCAAACAAACCAAAAGAAATAGTGTTTTTCCTCGACCTGTCAATTACTTATACTTATCTTACTTTCTTGTCTGCTCTATATCTTATTAACCGTCTAAGCCGACGGCGTACAATTAGCATTCCCTCCTCTTTCTTTCCCTCCGCCTGTCTCCCACAACTGTTCCAAAACCTGCTGACCGAGTGCTCATGTCTTTTCTATCCTACTACCTCTACGGACTACTCGTCTAGTATTTCCTCCTATTGAAGTAATGTTGGTGTACTATTCTACTAAATCCGCCTCTTACGATGGTACCACACTCCTTCCGCTTTCCATCCTGCTTCTCTCTCCTGCAACCCAACGCTCGAACCCCTTTGATTGTTCGGACCAGTCTTTTCTCCTCTGCTAATTCATGAAGAACCACTGGTCCAATATCAACTTCCCCTCTTCCATCCTCCCAAACTGTCCTCTTTTACACCAAGTGTCTCTAAACCATTTCAAGCCTGACTCTTGTTCATCTGTTCTACCCACTTTCCTCCTCCAGTCCGCCAACACTGTTCTTCTCAGCTGTTGTTTAAAGGTTGTGTGGATCTGCCTGTTTGTCCACTCTTTATTTCTAAAGAGTCTCTCGTTTCTTTCTTGCCAGATCGCCGCGAAACCCACAGCTCTCGCACTCTTTGCCACATACCCCCAGACGTCTGAAATGCTTTGTCCCTCATGTATCCCCCCTAACATACACCACTCCTTTGTCCATGAGACCCCCCCCCCTGTGCACTTATCCAACTGTTTCATCCACCACTTCCATATTCTTGTTGAGGCAGGGCAGTCCCACCACAAATGCATTGTGGATTCGAACGCCCACTCGCACCTGCAGCATTTCAAGTCCACCTTCATCCCGCGTTCCGCCAACCATACTGTCGAGGGAGTGGCAACCAGAGAAACCTGCCACAGAATGGATGCATGTCGTTGATTGGAGATTAGCTTCAACTGCTCCCAACACTTCTTCAAGGCTTTGCCTATCTCATCTTGTTCCAGTGGTTAGAGTTGGACCCATCTGGTTCTCGCCACTACTGTCGGATGTTTCGAAGGAATCAGACTCTCATAACCAACCTGCTGAGTATAATTGAACAGGCTTACATTTTCCCCTCTTCTACCCAATGCTTTCCACTCCCACATCTTTGGGTCCAGTTTTAGCAGCGATATAGGTTTGCCATTTTCCACCACCGCCAGTGCTTGGCTTCCTCTTTCCTGGTTGTTCTTTACTACCCTGACCTGTGCCAGAGGAGAACCCAGTCTGGGTTGGTCCTTCCCAACTGACGGGACTATCTTGCCAGAAGGGGAATAACTTCATTTATGGAAGATTCATTTCCCGTCCGGTTGGATCAGATGAAGTTTCCACAGTTCTCTCTCTTCCTGTTCCTGCTGGATGTACCACGTGCCTGGTGGGTCCGTCGTGGCTGGGTCTAGAATCGTCTTCCAGTCTTCGGGTATAGCTTCAATAATCGTTTGCAACCTTTCCTCTACCCCCCTCAGTTGGTCTAACTTCTCTCTCATCTCCATCGGGCGTTTCCAATTTTCGGTGAACCCATCTCATATGTCTCTTACTCTCAAAACTCCCTTCTCAATCCAAGACCTTCCGAAGCTTTGTGGTTGACTGTCTGTCTTCAGCCACGATCCTTCCTTTGTCTGTATCATCGGGTTTTCGAACAAGGGTTGTGCCAACACTTTGACTTTCGTTGTCGGTGGAGTCCAGGTGTTCAGTCGCATTTTCCGCCAGGCTCCAATGATTGCCGTCCATAGTGGGGATTGTACGGCCCTACGTTGATAAGAGTGGAGGAGCAGGCAAGTCCACACATCCTTTACCCGAGGTAAGCTTCATTCCTTGGCCAGGGTCTCTTCTGCCAGGTGGATCTATGGTGGGACCGGATCTTCCAAGCATGCACGTATTGTCCACTTGATTAGCATTGCCTCATTCTGTTTGCAACTTGAAGGGTCCACAATTCCCAGACCTCCTTCCTCTCTTGGCAAGCAGAGCATCTCCCATGCAACCTTCGAAATGAAATCTTCCTGTACTCCCACAAACGGTTTCCATATGAATCTTGCTGCCCTTCTCCTTATGAGTTTATAGGTGCAATCACTAATCTTCCTCACCGCTCCCACGAGCCAAAGGAGTGCAAACAACGCACCATTAAGTACCAGGGTCTTTCCAAACAGCGATAAATGGGGAGTCTTTCCCCACGTTATCACCCTGTGGGGTATTTTCTGGAGCAGGAGATCATCTTGTATCGCCGCACAGTCCATCAGAGATCTAGACTCCCAGAAAACGCTCCGACCCATTCTGTTCGATTCCCCGCATACCTCATTCCACCGCCGGCTCATACTGTTCAAGTAGCAGATACACCGACTTGTGCCAATTGATCGCTGCTTCTGACAACTTGGAGTAGTCATCTAGGCAGTCTTTTAGTGCTGACATGGACTGAACTGTGTTTTCAGAGACTGCGAAGAGGTCGTCTGCGAGGGCCTTAACTTTGTATGACGTCAACCCCACTGACATCCCTCGTATTTGAGGATGCGCCCTGATGTTGTTCAAAACCACTTCGAACTGTAGTGCAAAGAGGAGCGGGGTCAGCGGACAACCTTGTCTGAGCGACCTTGTAAGCGGGAACTCTTCTGAGAACCTTCCGTTAATGAGGACCGAAGCTGATGAATAGACATATAACATCTTGGCCCATGTGGCGAAGTTCTTTCTGAACCTCATATGCCTTAGTGTTGTGAGGATGTATGACCAGTTCACCCGGTCATACGCCTTCTCTAAATCCAACAAGAGCACCGAGATGTTCAAGTCCTCCTTTTGGACAGTTTCCAACGTCTCGATTGTCGTGATAAAGATTGATCTTCCTCTGATGAACGTCGCTTGATCCGACTTCACCAACTCTGGAAGGAAGAGCCCTAGTCTTCTCGCCAAAATTCTGGTAAGTATCTTGTATGAAGCATTTAGGAGGGACACTGGTCTCCAATTCCTGATCTCCGTTCGATCGCCTTTTTTGTACAGAACTGAGATGACTCCTCTGCACATGCTTTTGGAGAGTCTGCCTCCTATCAACACCTGGTTGTAAATCTCCACTAGGTTCCCTCCCTATACCTGCCACATTTCCAGGTAGAGTTCCACGGGCAGGTCATCACAACCCGGAGCTTTTCCTTTGGCTATAGCCTTCAAGGCTTTCAAGGCCTCCTCTTCTGTTACTGGTCGGTCTAGGTTGAGGCATCCCTGTTGTGACAGGCGTATAGTGGTATTCTCCCAGTGAGTGTTGTCGTCATCCAGATTCGTTACCACTTCAGCTCCTTGCGTTCGAGAGGTTAAGATATCTCAGTAATAGATGGCTGCATAATTACATAGACATGTCAACTCTTTAGTGTTGTTGCCCTGTCATCAAACGGGTATTGAAGTTTTGACATTGAAACTGAGGAGCGGCTTGGTAGCAATTTTTGGAATGACTCTTTGGTCATTCGATCATAAACTGCTATTTCTTTCACTCTTAGTCGATCTGCCCATACTTCCGATTTCCTCACTTGCAGTTCATCCCAATCCTTCATTTGTCTTGCACGTTCTCGTCCCCACACCACCGTTGAAATAGGATGTTCCTCCATTTTTTTCTCTGCGTACTCAATCTTCTTTATTATCTCCTTTTCCTGTTTCTTTCTATCGAAAGTCAGGATTTGAGAGAACACACTTAACAACTTAGAAAAAATTGTTGAACTCGCGTCCCACCAATCCGTTAGTGAACCATACATGTCC